TTTCACAATCACTTCTCTCCTGCAAACATTCCTTCAGGCTGTCTCTCTGTTCCTTCCCACTGGTTGTCTAATTGCCAGCTCAGAACTTAGCAGGGAAGAAATAATTAAAAGACTGTTCCTGAGGGGATAGCTTGAGAAGAATAGAAGTGGAGTCACCATGTCTCTTTTATCACATTAGTTCACCAAGCCAAGCTTGTAAATAGACGTCTGGCTGGTTGGCTCCACATGGTTTATCTTCTTATTATGGACCATTGCAAGTGGGTACATCAGTGCTGAAAAGGCTTTGTTAAGGGCTGACCAAAAAAGAGGATAGCAAGCAGTCTGAAACAAAAGTGTGCTATAATTACATCAAAGGTGAGAACTGGATGGCCTTCAACCAGATGTTAATAAAGGAAGTGATTATGACTTCAGAATAAACTGTGTTGATGGAAGCTTCTGCTGCAACTTCTGGAAGGCTGTAGAGTCCCCATCCTGATACAGAAAAAAGTGTATAAAAAGAAGCTCTAATTTAGAGACTGCTCCAAATTAAAGTGCAAGAAGCCAAAGTTCCCTTAAATATAGCTTAGAATAGATCTTCACTGACCCATCCCCAAGGACTTTGGGGAGTTGCTTTCTGAAGTGAGCCTGCTTGCTGAAGAAGAAGAAGAAGAAGAAGAAGAAGAAGAAGAAGAAGAAGAAGAAGAAGAAGAAGAAGAAGAAGNGAAGATGAAGATGAAGATGAAGATGAAGATGAAGATGATGATTCAGGGTCTGTCTTATTGAGTATAGCTCTAAAAAGCTGAAGATTCATGAAGATTTCTGAGCAGGAACTATCGGAATGAAAATAGAAACCCATTAAAAAGCAATTATGTGAAATCCAAAACAGAAGGAAGTGTGTAAAGAATTCTAATTAGGAAACGTAATGCAATTCTGTCCATACAAGGTGATATGCTCTTAAGGCATAAATGTCAAAGGGCTCTAGCATGTCCAGCACTGTTAAATAATGGCCAGGAAATATAAAGCAGTGACTTCAGCTATCTCTTGCGTATAATACTGTAAATAAAAAGTACATTTAAAGTGAATTCTGTTTATATGTGTTTTTCCAGGCTTGTGTCTGGAAAAACACATATAAACAGATTTTAAACAGGAAGTTTCATGCTTTGTATACTTTGGGGTGATTTTAATGGATTTGTATGCATGTATATATGCATGAGGTTGATAAGGCCGCCCAATTCTTTCTCTCTCTCTCTCCCCACATATACCATGATAACAAATACATATACATATATAACCAATCCTAGGCATAATAAATGCTCACTCTCTCAGCAGAGCACGTTCAATTATCATTCTAGCCCAAGTATCACAACTCTGTGAAAGGCTACTAAGAAGGGCTACCTGAACCTGCTGAGGAAGGGGTGGGTGTCAGGAAACTTGTTCCAAAAGGCAGGTAGTGCAACAGAGAAAGGTGGTAAATATTTAATTAACTTAAGCATCCCAACCAATTTACATCCAGAGTCATCCTCTGTGAGTGGCGTCCCAAACAGAATCTGTCCTCCTCCATCCATCTGGAAGAATCAACTTTGGTGGTGGGTGGGAAAAGACACCTAGAGTTCTGGCAGGAACTGCTTAATGAGATCCGAAAGGAAATGGCATTAACTATTTACCGTCTATTGTCTACTGCAGGGCTTTTCAACCTTTTCATCCATTGTACCACTTTTAGGCTATGGCAATATCCAAGTACCACCAGTCGCCTAGCAAGGTGTCAACAACTTGATGACCAAAAAAAAAAAAAAAGGAAAAAAGTGATAAAGTACAGGTAGTCCTCGACTTACAACAGTTCGCTTAGTGACTGTTCGAAGTTACAATGGCACTGAAAAAAGTGCCCCCCAAAGCACAGCCGAGCAAGACACCTGCCTGCCCACCTGGCGGCGCTCTTCCTCCTGTCCGAGGTTTTCATTGTTGTGAGCATTTCTGTTGAGGATTGGCAGCAGGGGTGGGGTGGGGGGTGTTTGGTTTTTATTCCCCCCGTCTGCTGGGTGGTTGCAGCAGGTTTTAATCACTTCACATGACCCTGGGACACTGTGACCGTCATAAATATGAATCAGTTGCCAAGCATCTGAATGTAAATCACAAAACTCTGGAGATGCTGCAACATTCCAGCTGATTGGCACTTCTTCAGGGCTCAGCAGAAGCATCAGGATCAGCGCCGAGCTCCAGCTGGATCCTGGCACTGATCCTGGCGCTTCCACTGAGCCCTGACAGCCCTGCAACTCCAACCATCTCTCACTCAGGTTTGTGCAGTGCTGCCACCGGTTCAGCTCATTCCTCTCCCTCGTTACCACTTTTCTAGGATGGTCGTGTACCACCTGCCAGGTGCCAATGTACCACAGGTGGTACCCGTACCACTGGTTGAAAAGCCCTGGTCTACTGCCATTCTTATGACTTCTAGTATTGCTTCCTCAGTGTAATGGAATGTGAGAAAAATCTTGGGAAATGTGTATGCGTGTATTTGGGGGAGGGGATGCCCCCAAGGTAATGGCTAGACAAAATAAGAAGTAGCCTACAAGTGAGTAACAGAGAAAAAAAACTTAGAAAGGTTTTTCCCTAACTAATCAATGGGTAAAAAGAGAGGATGGGAGATTTGCACTTTCAGACTTACAAAATTCTGTTAATGTATCCTTCCAATAAAGTAGAATTAACTAAACTTGTCATGTTTCTCCTCTGGTCTACTTGGGCGACTGACAATGACTACTCTCAAGTGTTCCCAGAAAAGGGAAGACAACTAGAGTCTCATATGGCTGCAATAGCAACACTAAATGTCCACAGCAGTAACAATATGAATGTTTCGAGGAGGGGAGAGGGTATAGACTTTTTCCAGAACCCTGTAAGTGGTCTGGTAATAGAATAAAACTGAAAAGTGAACATTTGCCTAGAGGTAAAAAAAAAAACCCAACTGTGACGGCTTTGTGCTGTACAAGCTTTCAAATCTCTCAGTATAATTGACACTTTTTCCCCCCATAAAGAAGTTCATAATTAAGCTAGGTGCATATGGTCAGGCCTAGCCTGGTACTTATCTGTAAAATCTCCAAGGGAGCTGAGGAATGCAGAATATGCCATTTTTTTTCCCACAGGTGAAACTGAGTGAACCTCTTTAGCCACACCTTAAATACCTTTCGGAGGGCTGTGTGGGAGGGCAGATTAAATTGCATAGGAGGAACCCAGGTCTGTGTTGTGGACCCTCCTGGGTTAAATATACAAGGAAATGCTGTCAATTAAATGTCTGTTTTCCTGGAGGTTTATCAACAATGTCTCCTTTATTTATAGTTTTTCTCTGGGCTTCCTCATAAAAAGATGGTGGCTTTATTTTACACCACACTTTTATGCAACCCTTATTCAGTTTCACACATCCTAACATTGTGTGGGTCATAAAACGATCCTGTTTCTTCAGGAAGCGTTCGAATGCTGTGTGATGAATGAAAACCTGGGCATAGGTTTTAGAAGCTATTTTATTTTTTTGTGGTATTGTTGATCTGGACCCACACTGGAATCAAAAGAGTGCAATATAAAACCAGGAACACCTGCCTGTCAATTGACCTCATTAGGAAATAATGACTGTTGCTTTAGCTGAGGTAAAAATGTTCAGAGGACATTTAAATTCACTTAATTCAGTATGGAAGAAACATTTAAACAGAACATCCCAGCATCACTATTACATGCACATTTTATGTGGGATTTCAAAACACTCAAGATAGCAATCATCACTGCGTAATCAAAGTCCGCCTCTTTTTTTTTAAACATGCATTGTGATGAGTTTTGATCACATGTTTGTGGCCTTGATCTTGACTTTTTGATATTTCACTTGTGCTCCTAATTATATGATCAGACTTATTGATTTCATCAGGACATTATAAATGTTGTGCATAGATTACTTAAAATTTGATGCAGTTTCAAAGTTAGACAGGGCTGCACTCTGTAGTTGTGGCTCTTGCATATGCCAAAATTGATGCATGACACATTGGGGCTTCTGCTGTAGCTGACAGCTTACAAAAGGACCTGTGTAATTTATGAAAAAAGATATTACATTTGTAGATTTGATTTGATTTTACTTATTTTTTTACATTTTTATTCTGCCTTTATTACTTTATAAGTAACTCAAGGCATTAAACATACCTAATACTTCCCTCTCCTCTTCCTATTTTTCCCACAGCAACAAACTTGTGAGGGAGGGATTGGGCTTGAGAAAAAGTGACTGGCCCAAAAGACACCTAGCTGGCTTTCATACCTAATGTGGGACTAGACTTCACAGTCTCCTAGTTTCCTGCCTGGTGCCTTAACTACTAAATCTGATTTTGGATGTGACATGAAAAACTGATCATGTGTGCAAACATCTACCCACACTGTGTGGTTCTAGGGTCAATTAAGCTGAGCAAATAAAGAAAATTAGCTTCTTTGAAACAATCAAGTCATTTTAATAACAAATTCAAGCCCTAAACCACAAACTGAGGCTGCCAAGAGGTGGACTGAACACAAACCTAGAACAGCAAACTTCTTGACTATTTAATGACAGCAGGTTGTGCTTATTAGCTACAAAAGGCTCAGTGTCTAAAGGGAAAACTCAGAAACAAGAAAGAGGGATAGAAATGAGCAGTGTGGAGGAAATCAAGATTGTCTATTTATCTTTGGCCAAAAGTAGGAATATGGGTAGTTATCAACTTATGACCACAATTGGGTCACAAGGATGTCAGTCTCTAAGTGATAGGATTATTAAATGAGCCACAACTATTTTTTTTAACCACAGTTGTTAAATGAATCACTGTGGCTGTTAAACAAATAATGTCATAAAGCAAATTTGGCTTTCCTGATTGACTTTGCTTGTTGAAAGCCACCTGGGAAGGTTGCAAGCCGCAACTGTGACTACAAGAGGTAGCTAATAATGGATCACCAAACATCGTGGCTGAATGAGTGGGGGGGGGAATGACAGTTGGGATTCCTTCTGATAAAAACCCAGATTCTCTGAAGGAGTCTGAGGCAGCTGTACCGTGTGAATTGGATGGATAGTTCATTGGAAAGAACAATTAACCAAGGTCTACCAACATTCTCTCATCTCCTGACTCGGTGTAAGTGAATTTTAGTTGTCTCTTCAAATCTCTTCAAGCACATTTCTTGCTTATTGGCTTTCAGAATTGGAATCCTTATCTTTGTGAACAGGCTGGGGGAGGGTGTTATATTTTGCCAATGTGGGTTTTGCTTAGAACAGATTGTATGATGACTGATTTTTTTAAAAAAAACAACTTAAATTTGGCTCAACATTCCTTCAGTCACTCACTCCTCTAATGATTTGCCAATGATTTCCTCTAGTTCTTCTATCCCCTTTTTCCTTTTACATTCTGTATCCAAGAGACAGAATCACATAGTGGAAAAGGTCATCAATGAAAGAAGCTGAAATGATAAGGACAGAAACTGTTCTCAGAAATGTATAATTTGTGTCAAGGTTTTTTCCCCATCAAATATTTACATTTGCCTATGGTTTTTGGCACCTGCAGAAGTAAACTCTTTCTCCTCTCTCTTCTAATCAGATAAAATGTTTGAGATTTTAATCTGCACAAAGGCAGGTCTCTTTTTTTTTAAGAAAAAAAATATTAATTTCCACTTTAGATTTTTTTATTAGATAACTTTTTATTTAAAAGGCCAATTACAGACTTCACTGAGATTGAATAGAAGTTATGGCTGCAAACATCACTAGCCTTTATGAAAAACAAATACAGATAGTTCTTGACTTATGACAAGTCATTTAATGACCATTCAGTCACAATGGCCTCACAATGGGTACTGAACTGCTGAAGTAAACTCTTGCTCTTTTCTTTTTCTAATCTGATAAAATATTTGAGATCCTAATCTTCATGAAGGTAGGTCTCTTTTTTTAAAGAAAAAGATGAACTTCCTCCTCAAATTTTTTAAAATTAGATTTATTCATTTATTTATATTTCATATTTCTGAACTGCCCATATCAATTATCTTTTTTTAATATGCCAATTACAGACCACTCAGACTGAATAGAAGTCATGGCTACAAACATCATTAATCTTTGGGGAAAACAAATATGGATAGTCCTTGACTTATGCCAAGTTATCTAATGACCATTCATACTCACAACGGCCTTACTTCTAGTCCAGCAGGGGGCTGGACTAGAAGACCTCCAAGGTCCCTTCCAGCTCTGTTCTATTCTATTCTATTCTATTCTATTCTATTCTATTCTATTCTATTCTATTCTTGCAGAAGTAAACTCTTCCTTTTTTCTCTTTCTAATCTGATCAAATGTTTGAGATCCTAATCTGCAGGAAGGTATGTCTTTCTTTTCTTTTTTAAAAAAAGAAAAGGATTAACTTCCTCTTTAGATTTTTTAAATTAGATTTTTTTAATGCTAATTATAGACTTCATTGAGAGGGAATAGAAGTTGTGGCTGCAAATATCACTGTCTTTAAGAAGAACAAATACAGGCATTCCTTGATTTATGATCAGTCATTTAATAGCCATTCACAGTCACAACTGCCTCAGCATGAGTGCTTTACAGTCTAGAAAGCAATACCGGCCATCAGTCATTGTGAAACGTTGCACTGGCCCTACCCCCAGATTCATGACTGTAGTTTGGATGCTTGTAGACCTGTTTGCATTTGCAACTGGTTACCAAGTGCCCTGAGATCATATGATAGCTATTTGCAATCTTCTCTGCTAACTTTCCCAGAAAGTCAACAGGGAAACCAGTAGGGATGGTTACAAGCAGAAGGGACATTGGCTTTAAGGTCCATTTCTCCAATGTGTAAAGGGATGTACTGGAGGAAAGGACTTCAGTTCTGGCAAAAATGTTATCAAACACCAGCATCCTGAGCCTTTTCCGAACAAAGGCATTTGCTGGCTTTTTAGCAAATGCCATCGTATCTCCAGAAGGGAAAATGCTCATGTACCAAATGCTAGCATTCTTAGGCTTCCAGAATGATGGCATTCACCAATTGTTTTTCCAGATCTGATATCCCTTCCTCCACCATGCTGAGAATTTCCCTGGTGGCAGAGTGGACCTCATATCTGGCAGAGACAATAGCGAACACCATCATTTTCACAATCATTCTCCTACTGCAGTAGGGCAGGGATAGTTTTTGGGTCTCTTGGGTATGGTGAGAGGCCTGGGCATTCTCCCCAGTGTTTCCCTTAAGAATGTGTGCAGGTACTTAATAACCACAATTCAGAGAGCCAGGATTGCGGTCATTGAGCAAAGCAATCATGTGGAATCTCACTTAACAACCGCTTCACCCAAGATTCTGGGCTCAATTGTGGTTGTAAGTGGAGGGATACCTGCAACGATATAACTTTCTGTAGTTAGACTGTCACAAAATTCTTGAAAACAATTGTAGATCCTCCACCTGACTTTGTGAGCAATTTGCATTAATGGTATAAATTCAGACAAGTTCCTGGCTGGGTCTGCCCACAATTATTCACTTTATAAGCTGTTCTTATTTTTAATAAAGATAAAATTGTTTTCAGAACTGCTTCAATAGTTCGGAGAAGGTGGGTTCATGTGCTTCACGTTTGTATCTTCTACAAACATCTTTTCATGGATACACCATAGATTGGAGACTTGTAGAACTAGTTTTTCAGAGTTATCCCTGGAAGCATTAAAGGTCATGTTTGTTCTGAGCATCGTGAGGGCACTTGTCAAATTTCACTAATCTTCTAAATATGTCACTGCATTTAACCTAAATTTTACTTTCCTTTCTTTCCCTATTCCAGCTATACCGGAGTTGAAATCTGTTAATCTGAACAGGAAAGTTTCCAGGTAGCTTGTTTTGAACAAATAAAGATAACCATCTAATTTGCTACAATGAGTTTCTGTGAAACTTGGTTGGCTTGCATAAGGAAGAAACTGACTGGGAGTTCTGTTACTAACAGTATCATGGTATTTACGTTTTTTGTGTTTGTTTGTTTGTTTACTAAAGAAAAAGGACCTAAAACCGTGTTACTTTGCCGAAAAATCGTCTTTACGATGTGAGGTACATAAGATGAATGTTTTTATTGTACCTTTCCCTTTACAATTTCAGTGTGTAAGAAGTTGTGTTGAGATGTATTTAGCCTAAAATGCATAGATAAGTTACCACAGTTGCCTTTAAAACTGGAATAATGTTTGTATACCAAGAAACTTGCTCTTTGACATTACATGAATACAAGACATTTCAACTGGTGTAGAAATTAACGATGTTGGAGAATAGCATTGGTGCAGAAGGACTCTTAAAAAAAAAAAGAGTGAGCATAGAAGGAAGAACTGCTTTTTGTTTCTTGTGTGATTTGTCTAATATCAGGCTGCTTCCAGACAAATGTTCTATTGTTCTATTAATTAAGTAAACTCATCTTCTTTTTTTTAGCTTGCTGGTATTTCCTAGAATTTGTTCCATCCTCTTTTTTACTGCAGTCCCTTTTGATCAATAGCAATGATCCATTTGAAAGTGGTTTTTTTCCCTTAAATAGATAATCAAGCATCTTTAACTATAGCTCAGCACCTGTGTTGGACAGAGGGCTGGATCAAATTAATGGGCAAAACACTTTCATTCCAGCTTGCCCAAGGCTTTCTCGTCAAAAAATGCCACATTTTTAGTGCATTAATGTATATATATATTGTTACAAGAAGGATTAAATATGCTAGGGAGCAACAGGTAGGCATTCTTATATATCATGTTGTCTCTATCTCACCACTGCCTTTCATCCATAATAATGAGTAGGACTCTTATTATTTCTTTATTAAGCATTTCACGTGCTTTAGAGTATGATTCTAAGAGATGTCTACTCAGATGTAAACTGAATCACATGTAATCCCAGATTAAAACACGTGATTAAAACGGAAACCTTGATGTCCTAGAGAAAATGACACAGGAGCTCCTAGGGAGATAAATTACTTAATACCCGGCATAACTTCAGTTTCAGTTCCCTCTTTAAGATTCTCAGGCAATGAGTAATCAATATTCAAAAGGTGTTGAGTAAGTGAGATTGAGCCTGGGGTGAAATATGTGTTTGCAACTGGCTCTAGATTTTTTTCAATGCTTGGGCCAAAGTGCCCAACATCATGCCAGGCCACACTTCCATTTCGAATTGTTCTCTGTGGTGTAGCTATTAGCACACCAAAGTGTTCAATCAAAGTATAGCTAATTTACATCTGTTGGCTCTTTTGCTCTGTGAAGAGCATGTTAAATTGCTAAGAGCAGTGGTGGCCCAGTGTTTAGAATGCAGTACTGCAGGCTAACTCACTGCTCACTCCAGGAGTTCGATTCTCACCGGCTCAAGGTTGACTCAGCCTTCCATCCTTCCCAGGTCAGTAAAATGAGGAGTCAGCAATAGGCTGACTCTGTTAACTGCTTAGGGAGGGGCTGTAAAGCACTATGAAGTAATATATACCAGATTCACGATAACGATAATCGATATAACTCCCCGTCCCTTCTCCTCTTTGGAGTAGTCATGACGTCCGATTGAGACGGGTGACAGTCCTCAAGGTAGGACTGACCGAGTCCCAACTGAATCGGAAGGTAAGAAGACTTCACCCATTTTACTCCTAGGTCTAACAACCTCCGTTCTCCGACTGAAACATTTGACGAATGAGAGGGCTGTAAAACACTATGAAGCGGTATATAAGTCTAAGTGCTATTGCTATTGCTTTTTCAGCTCCTGACATTGCCATGCAACCTCCGCTATAATTGCATAACAGCCCCTCCCATCCAAGAAAAAAGGCTTAGGTTCCCTCTTCCATCACTTGCACTCTGTTCCATCACTAGCATAGGGTAAATACCATTGAACTCAGTGACTTACCTCTGAGTAACCTTTGCTAGGAATCTTTCTTCCCATTTTCTCACCTACATTTTAAAATCTAAACCCAAATGGGAGCCAGCACGCAGCCTATTTTGACTGATCTGAGAGAGCTTAGCAGAATTCTTAAAAAGAGGACAATTGGAAAAGCTAGACGGGGAAGTCGAGAAAAACTCCTAGAGGAAGTGGCTAAGGGCTTCCATTCTGCTGCTAAGACAACCTCATGGAGATGTCCTGTGGATCTGAGCTCAGCTCAAGGGAGATTCTATCTTTATTCCATTAAAGCAATAGCTACAGCACTTAGACCAGGGGTGTCAAACTCAATTTCACTGAGGGCCACATCAGCATTGCGGTTGCCCTGGGGGGCGGGCGGGTGGGTGTGGATGGAGTGGGTGTGGCCTACTGGGTGGGCGTGGCCAGTTCTACATCATTTGCGTCAAGGGTGCCTATGGGGGCCTGGGCAGGAGTGGGACAGATCTGAAGGTCTCTGGCAGAAGGGGGTGGGACTGGGGCAAGTGCCAAGGCATGGTCCACCGGGGCAAGTGCCAAGATAGCCACCACAAAATTGTACATTGGCTCCCAGCTGGCCTGGGCCAGGGCCAAGACAGCGGGGGCCGTTCCCTCACTGTTTCCAGGATGGCTTCACGGGCCACATGAAACCACTTTGCGGGCCGCATCCGGCCCCCGGGCCTTGTGTTTGACATGTCTGACTTAGACTTATATACCACTTCACAGTGCTTTACAGCCCTCTGAGCAGTTCACAGAGTCAGCCTTTTGCCCCCAACAATCTGGGTCCTCATTTTACCCACCTCGGAAGCATGGAAGGCTGAGTCAACCTTGAGCAAGTCAGGATCGAACTGCTGGCAATCGGCAGAGTTAGCCTGCAATACTGCATTTTAACTACTGCACTGCCACGGCTCTTGAAAATAATATTGATCAAAATCTGGAGTGCAAGAGATCTGTATCTCACCCACAAGAATTCCACCAAGGCTATCCTCTTTCCCCCCCCCAAAACACATTGATTTTCTTCCAAACTGAATGAAAAACATTGAGGAGAAAGTGTGGAAGCAATTTCTGGTACAATACGAAAAGAAATTGTCCCACAAACTTTCTCCAGCTACTACATAGTTGGCTTCTTCAGGTGTATCCAAGGATACAGACTTACAGTAGTTTCACAGCTTATCCCAGGGGATATTTGTTTAGTGATGAATGAATGTATTGTACCTCTTACTATTGCTCTGATACTCAGTGAGCAAATGCACATACTGTGAAATGTCAAATGTAATATGTAGCATCATTGTGTTTCCGAATGCTAGTTTTTCAAACGTTATGAAATGGAAAAAGCTGATCACAGGATGTTTATTTTTTTATAACATCAATCCCACTGATTAGTGGGCAATAACTGGCTTGATCAAAATAAGCTAGACTGGATCATTTGGATATATGATTCTATGCTGCTGACATCAGCAAAGGATTTGGCCTTTGAATTCAGTGGGAGCTGGATTGCATCTGCTTTTCAAAACTCACTTTTTAGTGAGGTATACAAGCCTGAATTTCAATTTGACACACAAACACACACATACAGAGAGAGAGAGAGAGAGAGAGAGAGAGAGAGAGAGAGAGAGAGAGAGAGAGAGAGATATTGGTTGCTCTGGTTTCTTGTATTAACTATGTTGAGTTGCTAATACGCCAACGGCATATCTTTCCAGATTTAAAGCTGTTATGTTTTATACACATTTGAGCCATTTCAATTATTGACTAGCATGTGAATAATTAATCATGCAAAAAAGCATTAGCCTAATGTCTTTTAAAAGAATATTCGTAGTTTGCTCTAGACATTACAAGGTCAGGCTTGCTTGTAAGAAGAATCTATCCTCTTAAACTTATAAAAGTTATTGCTCTACATTTTATCCATCTGGTTAGAGAAAGTTCAGAGGAAAGCCCTTATTCACCTACAGTTTCCAGTATGGTGTTAATGGCTGTTAAAATAGGTTCTACTCTTCCCTCAGTAGTGGAAATTTCCTGATGACTTTGTCTCAATTACAGACCTGTGGTAATGTTGGAGGACAGAAAGCTGTTTTTGCAGCCTTGAGTTCCTGAATAAAAGGAGGAATATAACTCTGGCTTAAGAGAAAAACACGCTGACTATTGCAGGGAGAATACTGTCTACAACAGGGGTCTTCAAACTTGGCCCTTTTATGACTTGTGGACTTCAACTCCCAGAATTCCTCAGCCAGGCATGCTGGCTGAGGAATTCTGGAAGTTGAAGTCCACAAGTCATAAAAGGGCCAAGTTTGAAGACCCCTGGTCTACAATAATGAAGTACTGAAAATAGCAAATAATTCTTTTTAAATAAATTCTGCATTTCAGCCAAGGTGGTCTTTTTTACAGAATTGTTCTTCTGGTGGCAAGTTATCTTTTATTTTACTCACTTCTTCACTTCACATATGTCCTGACTTCCTTTTGGAGGTTTAGGGCAGGATCAATTCATTTTCCCCTCATTTTTATTTTTATTTACAATAACTCTTGGGAGCTACTGCAGATTGGACTGAGTCAGATTAAAATGTGAGAAAGATTTAAACCATTAATTTCAATTGGAAAACTGTAGGCATCTTAGACCAAACCAGATCAAAAAAGGCAGAATTCCTAAAAACTTAGCATTACATGTAATAGAGACATGGAACTCAGCTCCATCTACTGCTGAGAGTTTGGAAAAGATATAAAGCACAATTATCTCCGAAAACTTATTTTAGGAAAAGGTATTTTTTTCAGAAAAGAAATGATAGCTACACAAACTTGGTTTGATTTGTGCTGATCTAATTATGTTTATTGAAAAGAATCTAGAAAAAGAGGGTTATATTTATCAATGGTTTGCTTATCTCAAAGCAGAAAGAGTTAAACTGGATAAAAAGAATTTTATTTTAGCAGATGAAAAAACAGACTTTAAGAGAGATTTATGTACTAATGATGAGCATCTCATTGCCAAAATATATAAACTGTTGTTGAAAATGAATAGGATTAATATGTCATATGGTATAAGATTAAATGGGGAAAAAATTGGATATAACATTATGCTTGACCAATGGGAAAATACGTGGATAAAAGGGAGTGAAATTTTCACTGGACTATAATTTGACAGAATTTTTTTAGTAGAATGATGTATCATTAGTATTTAACTCCTGAAAAATTATCAAAGACATATAAGGGAATATCAAATAAATGTTGGAAATGTAAACAATGTGAAGTCCTCTTTCATCATGTTTGGTGGATGTACTGGACTGTCAAGAAGTGTTGTTTGAGTCAGGAAAAATTTAAAAATGAATGTAAAATTGAAACCAAAAGTTTTTCTTTTAGGTATCATGCATAAAGATGTTGAAAGAAAACACGGGGCGGCAAGACTTTTAAATGGAATTGGCAAAACTGACTACTTTGATGAAAGACAAAATCTAGCTTTCTTATTAGTTGGAAAACACTTTTGGACATCTTGCTTGAGAAAGATAAAAATGGAGTTTTGATTTTAGGATTTGATTATTGAATTTATTATGAGTATAGAAAAATGTGTATTTCATTTTTATTATTAAACATATATATTATATATTTTTAAATGTCTCGGTTTAAACCTAGAGTAAGGTTATTTTGTTACATAATTCTAATGCTATTTTGATTGTCTAATCTGTATTTTTATATGATGGATTTGTGCTTTTGTTTTAATTAAGAGTGTGAGGTTATTCTACCATATATACAGGTATTTGTATCTATACTGAAGAAAGTTGGAAATCAATCTTTTTTTTTCTTATCACTTTTTAACTTTCCCCCTTTTGACCTCCCTTTCACCATTTTTTTGTTATTTGTATTTTATCTGTTTGTGAAACTTAATAAAGTTAATTTTAAAAAGAGATAGGCTCCATCTACAGTTCTTTCAAAAAGGGAAGCAACCAAAGTCAAGAAAAGAAGCAAACAGACCTAAGCACATCTTTTTTCATCATGCTCCTCTTAACCAACACCAGATTAGCAGAAACTAGCACCAGATAAACAAGAACAATAAAAGGAGAAACAACCATCCATTCAAAGAGCAATCAGGGAAGAAACATTATCCCAATTATAGCTGATAAGAGGACACGCTACTATATTTAAGCAGTCAGCAAAATTTACTCACATGGGCAATGAAGATGTCACCTAGCTTGCTAATGAAATGTCTGCAGGATCAGAAAACAGCTGGAACTCAACAACTCAATCCTGAGCTACATATAATATCAGTCTATGGCAATTTTCAGTTTGATTTTGCCTGGAAAAATAAGATTTCTGATATCACTAGAAGGCATTACCATAGTCTTGACAAGGTCCACTAACTTCAGTAAGCAGTGGTGGTTACTTTGGCCTGGGTTCAAATAGCATGTTAAGTCTCCATAATTCAAACTGTTTTAGCTTAATATATAATGTGTTTAATTTGTTGAGCCATGGTGGCGTAGCGGTTAGAATGCAGTATTGCAGGCTAATTCTGCTGACTATCAGGATTTCGATCCTGACTGACTCATGATTGACTCAGCCTTCCATCCTTCCGATAAAATGAGGACCCAGATTGTTGGGGGCAACAGGCTGACTCTAAACCGCTTAGAGAGGACTGTAAAGCACTGTGAAGCGGTATGTAAATCTAAGTGCTATTGCTATATTATGTAAGCCACTGTTGCCTATAAACCATGACTGATGGTTGAACATGTTCTGATAGCTGGCATCATCTAGAGCACAGGTCGGAAACCTGCAGCTCCGGAGCCACATGTGGTTCTTGGAGCCTTCTACTGTGGCTCCCAGTCCTCCTCCACCATTTGCAGAGAGAGAGACAGAGATAGGCACTTGCGCTTCCCCCCCTCTCTCTCCGATCGTCTGCCTCACGCTGTTCTCTGACAAGCTGACAAGCTTATTGGGTGGGGCTCCTGCCTTTGCTGCGTCTCCACAGGAAGCAGGAAGCAGCAGAAAGCAGCATCTCTCTCTCTCTCTCTCTCTCTCTCACACACACACACACACACACACACACACACTTTTACTTAGTGGGGGAAGAGGACTGGCAGACCAAGGGCAGGAGCGAGCCAGCCCAATAAGAACGTGTGTCAGCTTGTCAGAGAACAGCATGAAGCCAACTTGCCAGGTGAGCAGAAGATAGGAGAGACGGAGAGGGAGGGCAGAGAGAGAGAGAGAGAGAACTCATGCACAGCAGCCTCTATTTCTTTTTAATTAAACTCTTCAATCAAGCCCCCTCCCGCCCGCGCGCAAGTTTTGCGTCTTCCAGTGTTTTCTTTTCTGTGGGAAACGGGTCCAAGTGACTCTTTATGTGTTTAAGGTTCCCGACCTTAAACTCACCTGATCTAGAGGATCTTGGACGGTCTCAAAAAGCTAAGCAAGGTTGAACAAGGGCAATGTTTGGTTGGTAGCCTGCTAGAAAATACCAAAGAATAGACTAGGTGAGGAAGCGAAAAATACATGCTGGAAGATGATTTAAATCATTTCTATACGTTGCCAAGGAGATTGCATGGATATGTCCATGAAGTCATCTAAAAATAATTTTTGACAGTTAATATTATGCAAAACCTTCCAACTTAGTTGTGCTTAGTTGTGCTTAGTTTAAGAAACCATGGTTTACTGTGGTCACTGAGGCAGGTCCCCATAAATAAAACTTTGGAGAGTAAGGTTATTTTAACTATTTATATTTATGGGGATATGCATATGCAAAAATTGTTCTGGTCCTCATGAGGGTCACCTAAGACATCTCACAACCTTGGCTGAAACATAAACAAGTCATAATTGGAAAGAGTTTTCTGACTTCATGGCTAAGGAAGTCTCCTGATTTCTAGCCTTGGTCCTTAACCACTAGACCAAACTGGCTGAAGGTGATGATTATAATGGTTTTTATGTAGACGTGAGGGGGTGCATCATCATCATCATGCATGTTTCATCATTTTAGTGTGACTATAGTTAGGCGAACTTTCAGAATGTTTACTCTGATATTTTGTAATTGTTGAAATAGAATTTGTTCACACATACCTTTTTAAAATATGTTTTTTATCATGTCTTTATGGTTTTTATAAATAACTCAAGGTGTGAACAGACCTAATACTCCTTCCTCTCCTATTTTCCCCACAACAACAACTCTGTGAGGTGAGTTGGGTTGAGAAAGATTGACTGCCCTAGTTTACTAGATATGAGCTTCTGTACGCTCAGTCAAATATAATGAAGTCCTTGGATTGTTGTATCTTGTCCTTAAAGGCAAACAAAATCTTTGGTCTAAAGCAGTGGTTCTCAACCTGTGGGTCGGGACCCCATTTGGGGTCGATCGACCATTTCATGGGGGTCGCCAAGCAAGGCTGTCCGCCATTTTTTTTGTCCGCCATTTTTCCCCCTTTTCCGGCGGGTGCCTTACCTCCCTTGGGCTGGGCCAGCTTGTGGTCGGCCTGCTCCGTCTCTGCCGCTTGCCAGCTACGCCTCGGCCGGCGCAGGGGGCGGAACCACACATGTGCGGCGCTCCCGGGCAGGGAAAGTCCTTGACTTACGACCGGTTGGGTAGTCCTCAACTTACGACCGGTTTAGTCCTCGACTTACGACTGGTCTAGTCCTCGACTTACGACCGGTTGGGGTCGCGGCATTAAAAAGGTTGAGAACCACTGGTCTAAAGTCTATTTGTAAGATCACCATAATATTAAATTCATTTTCCTTTTCCTTGGGAAAAAATTGGGCAAATTTTACTGCTGTGATACTTCAGACACAGTTCAATATTTCTTCAGCTTCCTCCTTCTTTCTGTTGTTCTGTTGTTGTTTTTAAAATGACTGCTTTATTTTCATATAGATTTTTGAACATATGATAACACTTTATTATACAACTGAGTGTTGGATTAAAATCAATGAACTATGGTTTTATTAACAAAAATAAGAACACAGCATATTTAGAAGTAGTAGGACCACTTTCAGCCCCATTAGATGATTGTGTTCTATAAACAACCAGGACCTTTTACATTTAAAATTTCTCTGCCATGAAGGACAAAGAGCTATTTACTTTTTTAAATCTCTGCTGTAGCTGTATTAACAATCCCACCTCCACATAATTATGAATAATGACAATCAAGGCTATTAAAGAAATAGGTAACTGATTGCTGTTCTGCTAATGCAGTTATGAAAGTAATTGAAATTTAATTGGTTGGTCACTATATTTTAATTAATTCAAAAAGAGAGAGAGAGAGAGATAATGCTGATCTAGGGAAACAATGACTTGTATATTTGGGTTTAAAAAGCGTATTCTTCATTAATCAAATGTGGTATTATTAGGTTCTGTCATTTCTAAAGAATGTGAAATAGAAGATCAAACTAGGCATGTATATTTATAGCCATTTCCCAGCTTAATATGACTTACTGTATACTTTTCTTGTACATATTTATCTTACTACTGTATCATTATAGAAGTGTGTTTTGTTTGTAATCACCTATAATGTCCTTAAAATGCCTTGAAATCTTGGCTTTCCCCCCAAACTCTAGATTAAGTAGGGTGCATTTGGGGTTTGTCATTTTCTCATATCTATCTATCTATCTATCTATCTATCTATCTATCTATCTATCTATCTATCTATCTATCTATCTATCTATCTATCTATCTATCTATCTATCTATCTATCTATCTATCTACACACACAGACACAGACACAGACACAGACACACACACAGACACAGACACAGACACACACACACACACACACATTTTGGGTAATGTTTTTAATTTGCATACTGCCCAGATTCATAGTGGGTTGCGTGGACTTATAAATTGAAATCATAAATACATAAATAATACAAATACTAATTTTGGCATATATACTAATTTATTTTGCAGGATTGTGTATTTTCTTAAAAAAAATCCAATTATAGATTGTTAAAAATTTCAGAAGATGGTAGACCCTATCATCATATGTGATAATTTGCTATTCGGATTGCAGATGACATGCAAAGGCCCGAGACTGCATTTATTTAACAGAGGAGGCAAAGATTCCTACGGGGGGAGATCCTATTGGTAGAATATTTCAATTGTACCATGTCGTGGCCTACACTCCATATGAGATTTGCAATCTTTTAATGTGCTTTTTGGATTTCCTTCCAGGTGCCTTTTAATTCTGAGTAAGAAACGTGGAACTTTTAGTGAAATAATAAAAAATCTCAACAATAAAAAAGAACATTCCAATCCTCCTACTCACTTTTCATAGCCTCAGTCAGATCACCATCACTTTACTCACTATGGAAACCACGAATGGAATTCCCCCCCCCCCCATTCCAGTAAGCATTGCTTCTAGATACCACCCTTTGGCCTGCCCTCACTGGAGGCTCCACAGGAATCTTCCACAAGGGGTAAATTTGTTTCTCCAAATGTTTTTGACTGCAATTTCCTTAATCCCTGATTATTAGTCTTCCGCACTGTGAAGAAGATAAATGCTTGGGGAAAGGTTTCTAAAGATCTTGGGTTGTTTATGGCCAGCAATGTGACTCAGTGCAATGCAGCACAATGAGTTTTATGACTCATTTAATAAGACACAGATCTGACTGCATCCAATTTGTTTAGCAGATTTTAAAAGGGCTTTATATAGAAAAGGATGGGTCCTTATTCCAATTCTATGTTGTGCATACGCAATAAAATAATCTATCAATCCCAATTATGTCTCCTGTGAGAGGCAGTGGTTCTCAAAACTTCAAGCTAGAATTTTTCCAACTCTACGTGGAGATGGTTGAGCCTTCTATAGATTGGTTTTATCACCAATCTAAAGGCCCAAGCCAGTGGGTAGAACATTGATCCCATTATTGGTAC